TTCTGCGCTGACCACCCCTTCCTCTTCTTCATCCAGCACAGCAAGACCAAGGGCATCCTGTTCTGCGGCCGCTTCGCCTCCCCGTAGGGAGCTGCCGCCTGCCCTCCGCCTCCCTGCCCACCCACTGCCCTGCCACACCCCATCACTTCCCCACCAGGGTCGCTTCACTGACGACCCCGAAATAAATCCTGTTCTCAGAGCTTCGAGTATCTGTGGGTTCAGGTGGCAGGTGTTTTCCTGAGGATGGAAATCACCATTCTGGGGGTCTGTGGTCCTCCCCCTGCTGTACTCACTGTGGGGGTGCCAGTGGGGCGAAGGGCCTCAGTTCCAGGCCACGAGGGTAACGCCCTCGTTTCTGTCCAGGACATGTGCAGGGCAGGCGCCGCCCTGGTGGCGCAAGGGCTTATGTCTCGGCACTGTGAAGCCGACACTAAAGCACGAGTTCGATCCCCGGCCAGAGAGTGACCTCCAGGGCGCGGCAGGCCCCTCCTGTCTCCCCGCTGCTCCCCTCAGCAGTGTGTTTTGGGTGATCTGCTTGTTCTGCTCCCCACTGTCTCTGGTGAATCTCTCACTCCCTGTACATCTTGCCTGTACCCCAGGTCTGATATGCAGGGACCCCAGGTGGCCAGGGAGAGTCCCGATTGCCACTGTCAGCGCTTCACACCCCTGAGACAGGAATGAGCAGCCCCTGCTCTAGAGTCTCCCGGGGCTCCCCGAGTTGTTTACTGTAGCAGGAGTCACCCGCAGGCTGTGATTTCAGTGAGAGGCACAGTCACCGCCCGCCTCTCATCCTCGGTGTGAATGGCGGGGACCCCTGGGCATCACGCCGGGCAGCGAACCTGCCAAGTCTAATCCTAGGGCTCAGTTCCAGGGAAGTGTCTCTCCCCCAATTCCAGTGATTCCCAGGGCCTGACTTTGCGCTAAGTGTCTAGTGGATGCTCTTAGCTGCTCCTCGGCAGGTGATAAACCAGGAGGGTCTGCGGCCGGCGGCCGGGAGTGGGCGGCCGGGAGTGGGCGGTCGGCTCTCCTGGCTCCCGGCTCCCGGCTGGCTGGCTGCGGGCTCTGCCACTGGAGGGCGCCAGAGAGGCGCGCCAGGAGCCGGGCCTGGCTCCGGGTCTGCCCTTTTGGGCTAATTAAAAATAAAACAAAACCTTTGAGCTCTTTGTCTACTGGGTCTCTTTAGCTTGGAAGAGCATTGAGACAGCGTCCCCTGTAGCTTCCAGCTCGGGGGGCAGGTGGGGTGCAGGGCCTGGCTGCTCCTGTGGGCCTCCCCATCGGCCTCCTAAGACACCTACCACCTCTCTGGCCCGGCCAGTCTCCCCTGCCCTTCCTGTTTACTCTCAGAATCAGAAATCCGCAGGATCAGGGGAATGTTTCCTCTGGTCTGTACTCCCAGACCCAGGTTCTCTCATGACACACCTAAACCCCACCCGGGATGCGGGGCTCATAGGTACAAGGCTCTCACTGCTACTCATCTGGGGTCCCCCTGGAGTCCCCTCTGTCGCTGGACAAGGATGGTTCCGGTTGCAACACCCCCCCCACCACCACCAAGCCCCATCTCAACCTCCCACAGCACCGGTGATGGCTGGCAGCCACCAGGCAGCTATCTGGGCCCTGGGAACCCAGGGAGGTCCCCAAGCCAGGGAAGGGCCCTTGAGACTCCAGGTCTGGACTGAAAAGAGGACCCACAGACTCAGGGGCGCAGGCAGGGAGTCAGCGGTGGGTGATTAGGGAGAGGGCAGGCCAGAGAACTCTGGGGAGGCCTCGCTGGCAGGAGACAGTCGGGGAGGTGCTGGATCCATGGAT